GGAAAAAACAGAGGACCCAGAGGGCACCGGGGCAGTATGCTGTGGAATGGAGGCGGGGATCCCTCGCATTCCTTGGCACAAGGGCCCATATCATGCTCGCTTGCTTGCATAGCGCAGCCGAATAAAAACCCATAGACAGAGGGATGACTTTTGGCTGTCCACCTTTTTTGGGACCCTCGCTACCGTTCAAAAATGGGGTTTTTTCACCCCTGCTGGGGGGAGGCCAAATAACTATTTAAAAAAACCACCTATGTAGTCAGCTGGTTTGCCTTCTGCCCCAAAAGCCACCTCAGACCTGGGGGCCCTGTGCGCCGCGTTCCGGCCAGGGCAGCAGGGGGGGGGTGGGGGGTGGGAGCAGGGCGCTCCCCACAGCAGCTGCTCAGCTGCAGTCATGATGAGTGCTTTCTTCACCAGCGCAGTGAGAAACTACTAACCAGCCCGCAGCAGCCCCACATCAGGTGGCCTGGAGCAGGACCTCAAAAAAACAGGCTTGGGCCTCTTGGACAGCACCCTGCCAACCGAGGTAGACAATCCCACTTGACTACTGGGCAACCGAAACTTGGACCTTTGGCCCGCCAACTACTGAATTTGCCCTTGAAAGGCGTCAAGCCGCCAGTAGCGTGGCATCGAGAGCGCTGGTTTTAGTGCGGCAAGGAGTATAGCAACTCTCCGCGAGACACGACTGTCCCCCACACCAAAGTGTGGGAAGACAGACGTTTGTGAAAATGAATCAGAGCGTGGATTATCTGGATTTCAAACCACCAGTTCCTGACACAACTGACTAAATCCTCCATGGAAAAAAAATTCCCCCAGGCCCCAAACATGTGCCACTTCAGGTCCTCCTCACACTGCTGTGGGTTCCCATTTTTTTGTCATAGGAGTGCTGGCAGATTACGGGCCTTCTCACATAGCTGCACTGTCCTGGCCCCAAATTCTGCCATGGGCCCCTATACCGCCTCCACATCTGCTGCCTGAAAAAGTTTCCAGAGGTCCGTCATGGTCCCTGTAACGAGCTCCATGCTGCTGTTCCTCCAATCGCCGGTACACTCTGCCTGTGCCACTTGCTGGCTCCTCACACTAACAAAAAGACTGCTGGTGTGTACGCATTTGTTGGCATTAGGGTCCTCGGCAATACAGCTTTCATGACTGCTGCCAGGCCCCTAATTCGCCATGGGGCCCACTATATACCGCTCTCCTCGCTTCACTGCAAGATTCAGGTCCAGCAGTGTGTCATGGGTTTCTTGGTAACGCCATCCCATTGCGCTGTCTCCAAGAGCACTACAGTTTGCATAGAGCCACTTTCAGGTCTCCTCACACTGCTGGTGGGTTCATTTTTTTGTCCATAGGGTGCTGGCAGATTACGGGCCTCCCATAGCTGCTGGCTGCTTCAGGCCCCTAATCTGCAATGGGACCCCCGTACCGACTCCTCAAAGCTGCTGCCAGGCCCCGTAATCTGTCATGGGCCCCTGTTGTCGCTTTGTTGGCATATTCCGCTCGTTCAGATGCTCCTTCTCCTGCTACTGCTCTTCACGATTCCGTCAGCAGTCTTTCTTGGAATCCCGTTTTCCAAGAGACAACAGTTTGCGAGCACGCACACCGACGGGGCAGAAGCTGAACGTCCTCCTGTCCAAGTTGCTGCTGCCAGGCTCGTAATCTGTCATGTGCGCCCCTGTACCGCCTCCTCATGCTGCTGCCAGGTCCAGGAGTGTGTCATGGGCCCCCCTGTACCGACTCCTCATGCTGCTGCAAGCCCGTAATCTGTTCATGGGCCCCTGTACTGCCTCCCCATGCTGCTGCCAGGTCCAGAGTGTGTCATGGGTCCCCTGTACGGCCTCCCATTGCTGCAGCTGCCAGGCCCGTAATCTGCCATGGGCCCCCGTTACCGAACCCTCATGCTGCTGCCAGGCCCCTAATCTCTGTCATGGGCCCCTGTACCGCCTCCTCATGCTGCTGCCAGGTCCAGAGTGTCCGTCATGTGGTCCCTGTACGGTCCTCCCATTGCTGCTGTCTCTATCGCCACACTCTGCCATGTGCCACTTTCAGGTCTCCTCACACTGCTGTGGTTTCCATTTTTATCATAGGGTGCTGTATGGCCTCCCATTGCTGCTGCCTCCACCGCCACACTGTGGCTCCACACTCTGGTTTTGGCCCCGTGACTGCCCAAATGAGTTATTCGACTCGAATCGAAATTTTTCCACGAATTCGCCGAATCAGTCGAATCGAATTTTTGAATACTTCGCTCATCTCTAGTTATCATCCCCTTAAGAAATTCCAGACACTTGACAGCTTCACTCCCATAAGTATTATCCTTCCTTCCTATAAAATGTACTGTAATTAGGTCACCAGCTCCACCCTACACGTTGTTCATAGGTATCCCCTGAAGAAGTCATGTGACTGTGACGTAACGCATAGAGTCAGTGACATCATTACGTTATACAGGAAGTAAGGCTAGTACTTGTTAGAGCAAGGCTGCCAGGTGCCTGGAATTTTTTAAGGGGATAGCTTTAAATGCCATATTCTTCTATGCACCAGATTTTAAAGCACAGTACACTGTGAGTGCATTTTAAATATTTTTAATAAAGATCTCTTTTTAGCAGAAAGCACTATGATTTTTTAAATTTTTTTGAGCCACTAAGAGTAAAAGGTGGAGAAATGTCTATATAAAAGGGAAGTTTGTTATTAAACGTTCATGAATATTTGGTAGTGTATGGTCCCATCTTTAAGGTCTATGAGGAATATATGTCTTAAAGGGGAAGGTGCCTATTGACTGGTTTTGAAGTATAGGTCAAAACTGGAGGTGAGTGCATATGGTGGAAGGTGGGAGAACATGAATGACTCACCAGTGTGGAACCTTGAAATTTAAAACACATATTTGAGGAAAAAGACTATATTTTGGTTTCTGCACTTAGTCACAGGGTGGTTTTAGGAGAGGACACACACACACACACACACACACACATATATATATATATATATATATATATATATATATACAGTTTCAAGAAAAAGTATGTGAACCCCTTGGGATTACGTGGAGTTTTGCATGAATTGGGCATAAAATGTGCTCTGAACATCATCTAAGTCACAACAATAGAAGAACACAGTCTGCTGAACATAATACTACACAAACATTAGATGTTGCCATGGTTTAGTTGCACATAACATGTAAACATTCACAGTGCAGGGAGGAAAAAGTATGTGAGGCCCTAGCTTAATGACTTCTCCCAGAGCTTATTGGAGCCAGGAGTGAGCCAACCTTGACTCCAATCAGTGTGATGATATTGGATGTGTTGCTGACAGCTGTCCTGCCCTTAAAAAACACACACCTGTTTTGGGTTTACTGGTTTCAAGAAGCACTGTCTGATGTGAACCATGCCTCGCAGAAAAGAGCTCTCAGAAGATCTACGATCAAGAATTGTTGACTTGCATGAACTGGAAAGGGTTACAAAAGTATCTCCAAAAGCCTTGATGTTCATGTGTCCACGGTAAGACAGACTGTCTACAAATGGAGAAAGTTTAGCACTGTTGCTACTGTCCCTAGGTGTAGTCATCCTGTAAAAAATGACTGCAAGAGCACAGCGCAGAATGCTGCATGAGGTAAAGAAGAATCCCAGAGTGTCAGCTAAAGACCTACAGAAATCTCTGGCACATGCTAACATTTTTCTTGACATATCTACAATAAGGAAAACATTAAACAAGAATGGAGTACATGGGAGGACACCACGGAGGAAGCCATTGCTGTCCAAAAAGAATATTGCAGCACGTTTGAAGTTTGCAAAAGAGCACCTGGATGTTCCACAGCACTACTGGCAAAATATACTGTGGACAGATGAAACCAAGATTGAGTTGTTTGGGAAGAACACACAACACTATGTGTGGAGAAAAAAAGGCACAGCACACCAACATCAAAACCTCATCCCCACTGTAAAACATGGCGGAGGGAGCATCATGGTTTGGGGCTGCTTTGCTGCCTCAGGGCCTGGACGGATTGTTCTCATTGATGGGAAAATGAATTCCAGAGTTTATCAAGACATTTTGCAGGAAAACCTACGACCATCTTTCTGCCAACTGAAGCTCCGCAGAGGATGGGTGATGCAACAGGACAATGACCCAAAGCATACAAGTAATTCAACAAAGAAATGGCTTCAACAGCACAGAATACGCCTTCTGAAGTGGCCCAGTCAGAGTCCTGACCTCAACCCGATTGAAATGCTGTGGCATGACCTTAAGAAAGCGATTCATACCAGACATCCCAAGAATATTGCTATACTGAAACAGTTTTGTGAAGAGGAGTGGTCCAAAATGACTCCAGATCATTGTGCAGGTCTGATCTGCAACTACAGGAAACGTTTGGTTGAGGTTATTGCTGCCAAAGGAGGGTCAACCAGTTATTAAGTCCAAAGGTTCACATACTTTTTCCTCCCTGCACCGTGAATGTTTACATGTTATGTGCAATTAAACCATGGCAACATCTAATGTTTGTGTAGTATTATGTTCAGCAGACTGTGTTCTTCTATTGTTGTGACTTAGATGACGTTCAGAGCACATTTTATGCCCAATTCATGCAAAACTCCACGTAATCCCAAGGGGTTCACGTACTTTTTCTTGCAACTGTATATATATATATATATATATATATATATATATATATATATAAAATATGCCTTCATTTGTGTTTTCACATATTTGATATAATACTAAGTGTACATCATTTCCAGCACGCATGTTCAAAAATATTTGTATGCATAATTTAGGTTATCATGACCTGGTATCAGCCTTTGCAGTTCCTTTGCAGCAGGGCTGGTGAGTGAGAGGAAAAAGTAGTACTAGAAGCAATAAACATGCCAGTAGGAAGAGAAAGCAGAGTGAGAGAGAGATGAGCTCTTTACTGTGATGTTTCTCCTTTCACTTTCCCGTCGCCGGCAGATGCAGGTCCAGGATGACCTGGTCTCAGAGGAATTGGGAGGAATGATCCTGGTCATTAGACTGAGGACATCTAGTGAAATACAAATTGTACTGTGCTGGAAATCTCTGAATTGAAGGTGGATATTGCGGTAAAAGCAATTTTTGTTATTTTATCCTTAAATTGGCCGTTAAATTTTATCTTGTTATTTGAGGCTGGAGCAAAGGATTCTAATTGTGATGACAATTAGATAGCAAGAGCAGTCAACAAGACTTGTCCAGTTCCCTGAAGTTGCTCTTTAAAGTAATTTTCTGGTTCATTCAAATATTTTTTTGGTAAACATAAAGAGGTTAGTAAGTATGAGTTTGTTGGATGTTTTGGAGTTGCTCCAGTTTTTTTATCCATGGCGTTCTTCTAGTTTTAGAAAAAGAGAGAGTTTGGAAAGGAAATTTGTCAAAAATGACTATCATAGTCGAGCCTTTATTTGAAAATCAAATAACCATTTGAAATGTGATAAGAAATAGCCTTTCTGTATTATTATTATTTCTGTATAATTTACTGGACATTATTCTCTCAATAAAACAAAGTAGTACGCATTTTTATGCCTGCTAACATTTTTTTTAATAAATCACTATATCATAAACTTCATGATAGAAAAGTGGAATGGAAAAACAGAGGAACTATTATGCAGCAAATGATTGGCTTTCATATTTTTCACAAAAATGTAGAGATTGGGATTCACTTTCTATCTTTCAGAATTTAAAATGACTATCTTTAATGGAAGAACTGTAAAAAACAAACTAGAGAGTATATGTAGTTCCAGCCTGTTGTAGATATGTGCACAATGGAAACATTTGTTTTGTTTCAGTTTATTTGTTAAGTAAATAATTTTGCTTTGTCATAATCATTATGTTAAATTGATTCCTTTTCTGAACAATTCCTTATTTTGGGAGAGTATATAGTTGTTGTTTCTAATTGATTTTTGGAGGTTCTGTTTTTCTTTTGTTATTTCAGAAGATTGGCTATATTCCTGCTAGTCCAACCCACAAAGAGAAATGGAATTAGCTGATTGGATGATATTGACTAGAGTCGCATACACCTGAAAGTAACAAAATTAACAAAATGAATTTCTAATTCATTTGTTATGTTATAATTCGGAGATTCTGATGGATCCACCTCCATCCCACCAAAACATTATAAGTAGGCATTATCTTATTCTATTTTTATACCTTACTGTATTTATTGCAATATGTTTATGTACGTAGTGCATTTTTTATAATAATGAAAAATGTTTATGCAAAAAGAATCGGCTGATTATCCAAGAGTATACCACACTGCTCTCATTCGAATAAATTGAGTGAATCCGAATTAATATGTATTAATTTGTTATGTTATTAAGTTGATTTCATTTCCCCATTTCCAGCTGACTTTGTTTGTTGGGCTGCACACATACAAATTAAACAAATGGTCTCTCAAGATCAACCCCAATACAAAAAGAATCTTATTATAATATTCATGCTACTCTCAATAGAATAGAAAATTAATGAACCCAAATCAATTTTGATCATTTGTTATGTCATTACATTATTTCTGATGCTTCACACATTAACAAAAGGCCCAAACTATTGCATCATGTCATCCGAATAAAACAAAGAAATTTGTTCTCAGTATAATTTATTTAAGATTGGTTGAAATTTGTTACGTATCTAAATTTGCTATGCATCTAACACTTCCCTCCCCCCAGATTAACAGTCCAAAGGTGCCCCTGTGCGCATTCATCCAGAGTGGGGGCACTCTAATACAGGAGGTGTGTTACTGGGCAGATCACCAGGTGAAAACAGAGGGGAAAAGCTTAAAAAAAGAAAACAAATGCAGCCAACACATCTGAGAATTGGTAAGCTGCAATCAGAGGTCTATTTACCGTGAGGCAAACAAGGCGTTTGCTTTGGCTGGCAATTTTTAGGGGGGCTGCACCACCCCCCGGAAGAAGGGACTTGGTGAGCAGCTGTGGACTGACCCATGCAGGGCCACCATCAGAGGGGTACCACTAGAAG